TTTTTCTGAGTTTCCAGAAATTAAAGCAATATAGAGCTAACTCAGCTTATGATGGAATTGCATCTAATAAGTTGAAAGTATAAATAAAAACACACTCAATAATATTTCACCTACCTAGGTCATTAGGGAGGCCTTATTATATTGATTTCTTACCTGTTAAACTAACTTTGCATAAAGGAATATGTTACATTTGGTGTGTTAGTATTTTGTTGAAGATTTTTGTACCTATAGTCATCATTAGGGATACTGGTCTGTCATTTCCTTGGGGTGTGTTTGCTTTTGATAGTAGATAATGATTGTCTCATAGAATGAATGCGTGCTTTATCTTAATCTGTTTTGTGAAAGAATCTGCAGAAGACTGGCATCATTTCTTACATATTTGAAGAATTCACAGGTGTCATCAGCTAAATCTGGGATTTCCTTTGTAGGAAGAATTTTGAATGCTAACTCGCTTCTTTACTATCCATGTCCTTCTCCAAATCTCATGTCTTAATTAATATGGCAAAAGGAATCTTCTATTTAAGTTAAGGAGTGAAATGGAGGGAATGTCCTGCATTAAGTGGTTGGGTCCAATGCAATGCCAACTTTTTTTTTTAAATTTTATTTATTCTTGCATAGAACTGGGGTTTAGGCCAGAGGTGCAGGGGGTGGGGAGAACATTGAGAATATTCACTAGAGACAGTGTGAAGCAGAACAGGCAGATCCACTGAAACCCACTGCTGAGGGGTACAGCAAGTGAGACACGAGAGGTCTGCTGGGCCATGTGAGCAGCAGATTCCCTCTCCCTAATCCTGCATGGCTGGGGATCAAACGCAGGCTCTAGCAGTAAAAGTCAGAGACTCAACTCCTAGGTCACCAGAGTGACCCAACTGGCTTAGTTTTAAAAGGACTACTCTACTGATTCTGTGTGTAAGGAAAAGAAAGGAATCAAAGATAGTGCCAAGATTTTTAGCCTGAGCTAAAGAACAGAAGTAATCATTAACGAGTGGGAAAGGCTATAAGGCTAGCTGATCTGAAAGCTCATTTGAGACCTCATGGAAGATTTCAAATCTTCCCAGTGAAAATAATTTTAAAAGTTTAAAGAAGGCACTTGAAAACAGTGCATGTGATATTTTAAGCTTTAGCTTTGAAATTTGCTGGCCCTTCCAAGAATATTTCATCTCAGAAAAATCATTTAAAAAAATACTTCTAAGATAAATTGTTATTCCTGTGTAAATAACATTTTACTTAATCTTCCTCCTGGTCAACAAAGTCAGTCATATAGTTTGATAGCTTATTGAGAGAAGCGTCATAACATAACATATAGATCCTAGAGTCTGTCTGCCTGACTTTAAATTTGGTATTGTGTGACTTTGGGTATATTACTTTATTTCTTTGTTCCTTGTCATTTATGTGATGATGAAAATGTCTACCTAAAAGAATGTGAATTAGTTTGTAGTGTTTTTACAACACAAATATATATAATGCTAAATATGTGGTTCAACTGTCCTTCAGATAATTTACTGAAAATTATTTTAACTTTTCTCAAATTGAACACTCAGTGTCCTATTTTTTAAATTAATTTTTTTTTGTGTAGAATTGGCGTGTAGGCAAGACGTGTGTGAGGTGAAAGGGTTCACCAGAGACAGAGTGGGGAGCAGGGCTGGCGACTGACTGAAAGCCTCTCACGAGGGGAACAGTCACTAGACAGAAGCATCTGCAGTGCCCTACACGGGGCAGCTCCCTGGTCTGGCACTGAATGAAGGTTGCAGGGTGACAGCTCTCAGACTATCTCCTGGGTCACCAGGAGGCCCTTAAATTACTGCTGTATGAAAGATTGTGTGTTTCACCTAAAGCCATCCATCTGGAAAGATGTGCTGATAAAAAAAATGCAACATTCCAGGAAAGGAATGTCTGCATAAGACCACATTCCACAATAGCTTTATTATTTCTGCTCTAAGTGCAGACCTTAACTAAAATTATTAACTGGTTTGCCTAAAAGTGTCTGAGGTTCCTCAAAATTAGGTTTTGAAAACATTATAAAATTATTTGACAAATGGTTAAACCCTTTCTGTAGACTTACAGGTTAGTTTTTTAACTGCAATTACTTCCATTGAATAGCAGTCAGGTTTTGCCCTATTTCCGTGTCTGCAAATACTCTCAAAATTGCTTATTATGGGAAATGGTATGTTTTTTTGGTGCTACATTTCTTATTTCCTGTGTCCTACTTAGCTACCTCAGTATTCTCTGACAATGATGAAAAGACTTTACATCCGTTTACAGGATAAGTTCTGCATTGATCCCAAACTAAAAATAGATACCACGTTGCATAGTTAACAGCTTAGTTCACTGAGTTGGGCGGGAATGCCCCTCCCCAACAGGAATGGAGACTATATACCCTGGCTTGGACAGGAAGGGTTTTTTGGGGACTTTCACTAGGAACAGGAGAAAGAATAATTTTCATTTAGGATTTCTTGATTTAGTTGTTGTGTGGGTCACCTCTGTTATCATGTAAAAGAAGCTTGTTGTAAAATAAAAGAAGTAGAGAAAAATAAAATGAAACAGAAAAATGATTTCCAATTATGTTAACTACTTTATCCATTTCTGAAGCTGAAATGTCTTGGGTTATGTGACCTAATGATTTTTTCTCTCACTTTTTTAAAAAGATTTATTTATGCATATAGAACTGGGGTACAGGCCAGAGGTGCAGAGGTGGAGGTGGTGACAGGATTCACCAGTGACAGAGTGAGGAGCAGAACAGGCAGACTGATGAATTACATTGCAGAGAGGAACAGCAGGCAAGATAAGAGAGGTCGGCTGTGCCATGTGGGTCTCACCTCCAGGGAGGGATCAAAATCAAACTGAAGCAGCTGTGGCTCACTTGCAGTGCTGCACTTTAACCCGTTGCGCCACCAGGGAGGGCACCTCACTTTTTCCCTAAAGATTTATTTATTTATATATATAAGAACTGGGGTATAGGTGAGAAATGCAGTGGGTAAAAGGATTCACCAGAGATAGTTGGGAACAGAACACGTGGATTTATTTGAAATCCACTTCTGGGGGGAGCGGTGGGTGACAGGAGGTCTGCTGAAATATGTGGGTCAGCTCCTTGGCTGGGGATCAAACTCAAGCATTAGGCTGACTTAAGTCCCTTGGAAGACTGAGTCCCCTCTTCCTCTCACTTTTTAAAATATTCTTTCACTGCTCTATAAATGAAATATCAATTTATTAATGGCAGATACTACATAGAGGTTTCAAATACTTCTCTAGATGTATCCATCAAGATTTTACTATTTTAGCACTTCAGCACCTAAATATTTTATGATCACTGTTGTGTACCATAAAAACTCATACTTTTGGATGTGGTACATATATACAATGGAATATTACTCAGCAACCAAAAAAGAGAAACACATGTCTTTTGCAGCAACTTGGATGGAGCTGGAAAAG